CTCATGGCTGTGAATGCCCTGGGTTCAGGGTCAGGTCTGTTCTCATGGTGTGAATGCCCTGGGTTCAGGGTCAGGGCTTTGTTCATGGCTGTGCATGTCCTGGGTTCAGGGTCATGGCTCTGCTCATGGCTGTGAATGCTCTAGTTCAGGGTGATGGCTGTACTCATGGCTGTGAATGCACTGGGTTCGCAGTCATTCGTGGTGGCTCACCCCTGTGTTTTCCCACCCTCTCTCCCATTGGCGCTGTTCCTCTCCCCACTCCTGGATGACTGACAACTCCTTGGTTTATTTGGAGGATCACAGTGTCACTATCTACAGCTGCAGAACAAGGTGCCCTAAGTCCCCAGAGTCCCCTGGTGGTTCCTGAGGTGTCTGTGGAGGCTGGGCCACTAGGGAGTGTCCTTGGGGGCAGCTCCGGGGTTAGCGGGGGCCAGAGCAGCATACACACTGGGCTCCACTGGGCGCTGCTCTTCCTGGGAGGAGGGAGGGGCAGCGGCCCCCCGTCTGAGTGTCCATCTGCACAGCTGGGCGTAGGTCACCTCCTGGGGACCCTCAGATGCAGCAGCCTGGAGTGGGAGATGGTGAGAGGGAGGGTATGTGCTTGGCCCAGGGACGCCTCGTTCTGGAGAGGACAGCACCTACCTGAGTGTCCGTCTGTCTGTCCTCTGCGTCCTCTGTGCCCAGGAGCTGCCCCAACAGCGGGGGGAGGGGGGAGCTCCCGCCCCTCCTGAGTCCTGAGTGCTCCACCTGGGCGTATGTCACTCCCTGGGAGTCTCCGTCAGGTGGGCCCTGCAGCAGGGACACAGTGAGACAGACGTGTCCCCTGAGGTCCACTCGGGCTCTCCTCCAGCCACTTTCCACTCTGGCCAGAGTGACTCTTCAACAATTTCAGATACGTCACTGCTGATGGGGTCTCCAGGGGCTTCCGAGCCTGGGAGGCCTGGAGGCTCCTCCTGCAGCTCTGCGCTCTTACCCCACACCCCCAGCCCTGCTCACGTGGCTCCAGCCCCACTTCCCGTCTTCCTGAAAGAGCCTGCTGCTGCCTCAGGACCTTGGCACCTGCCGCGTCCCCTGCTGCAGCTGCTCCTCAGGCACCCGTGGCCCTGTGCCCCCTGTCGCTCATCAGGGCCCTCCCTGCCCCGTCCCTCTCTCTGCTTTAGTTCCCTTGGGGCTCTGCTCTCCTGAGGCTGCCTTTACTTCATGTCGGGCCCAGGTGAGCTCAGGGGCCCAGGTGAGCTCAGGGGGCGGGGCTCTGCTGGCTGGTGCACCTGCAGCTCCACCTGGAGCCGGTCAAGAGGGAGCCCCCTGAGAGCAGCTGGTCAGGAGGACGAGTGTGGGGCAGCCTGGGGGACGGTGACTCATGTACTCCTGGTCCTCTGAGGCCCCCGGAGATGCCAACAGCCAGGCCAGGAAGGGCACCGAGTGGGGGCCACAAGGCCACAGGGAGGGGGGCCACAGCAGGGAGGCAGGAGCTCCAGAGGGAGGGGCAGCCTGGTCATCACTGAGGG